TTTTTTCCTCCTATCTTTGCTTTGTGCTACTTTGAAACACACAGGCATTAAGGAGTGCTGTATAAGTGCATTGGGGTGCCATTTAAATTGCATTGCACCATTGATCATGCATTAGCTTGCCTTGCATTAAGGTGCGGTAAAACCTGTCCTTTTGCAATCCATTGATGTGTTTCCAGCCTTAGTGTATAGATAGTCAAGCTGTGATATTCACTGCTGAAATTAGAGGTGATAGCTGATTCATTGAAATATATAATAATGGAATGCCATAAATGGTTATCATCTTCCACTTCACCAGGAGTGTAATTGATACACTGAATAAGTTATATTACAGAGTAAGAAATCAAGAAAGAATTATTTTTTCCTGTGCAGCTAATGAAGGCTTGCCTGGCTGCAGCTTTTTCTGTTCTTGTCTCATGACATCTATGACTATGGGACTGCAGCATTATTTCACTGCTGTGATTTTTGCAAACTCCATTTAGGGGTCAGGAAATAATTATTCCATTGCTAATACAAATTGATCCACACTTTTATAATTTTTTCTCTCTCTCTCATCTGGGACTAACTGAATTTTTTTTCTAATAATGGTTAAACTCAATGGGCAAGTTTTTGAAACTTGAATTTCCAAAGCTGAGTTGACACAACACATACATATCAAAACTAATAAGAATAATATACTTTATTATTATTACAGATACTTATATAGCACTGTCACTTTTTACGCAGCAATTTACAAACAGATATTGTACATTCATATCAGTCCTTAACCCTCAAGGAGAGTACAATCTAAGGTCCCTAACTCACATTCAAACATACACATACTTGGGCCAATTTAGATAGGAGCCAATTAACCTACTAACATGTCAACTTAAAAATAGATAAGCAGTTTAAAAGAAACCCTTAAAAAATAAGATGGACTCCCCTGTATGTTCCAATAAGTGTTACCATTTTTGCACATATCTATACCAAGTAACATACAAAGTTTTCCTGCTCATAGCAATTACATGTATGGTTAACATTTTTTGTTGCATGCCCCATTGCAGTATGTATAAGGTTCTCTGCATAGAAGCAATATAAAGTCATGTCATTTTTCTTGCCAGGGTGTTGACTTGCTGCTTGTTGACCTTTGCAGTATATTGACATCCTTATATGCAAAGTAGGTATTGTGTTGCCTCCATTCAAATTTAAAAGTTCCAAAATTCCAACATTTAAAAACGTTCCAGTTTAAATTTGTAAATATTAATGTAACCTGGATGTGTGTAGGTTAAACCTACAAAAGCGCACTATTACTGAAAATATACCTTACCCTTATGTCTGTACTTGCTTGTTGGACATTACACTCCAAAACTATGGACACTAATAAAGAGTTGCTCAACCGGCCATCCATGTTAAAGCTATAACAGCCTCTATTTTTCTGGGAAGGATTTCGATAGTATGTTGGAGTGTGTCTAAAGAAATCTGCAGGCATGTACTTCCCCAACATGTTCATGAGTGACATGAGACCCCTGAAATGTGCTCTATTATGCTCTTGCCACTTCATGCCACCCGTACTTCCTCAATGACCCATAATTGTGTTAGCTGGCGTTATTCAGGTATAGGATATGGGGTGGCAGCGAAACAGTGCCCAGTACTCAAAAATACCTGTTGCTGCTTTGAATGGCAGAGGTGCCTGATGGGATGTATAATGTGGTGCGTCTAAAGATGGATCAGAATCTCTGTATTTCACGACCATCAAGACACACATTGGTGAAGCAAAGAACTAGGAAGTATAGAACAGTTGTGTATTTCCTTTAAACTGAGGAAGTGTCAAATTTGAGCCACAAAATGCATTATTGGTGAAATAAAGTAACTTGTCGTTGGTCAAATATGATAACCCTGATCCATCTCTAGATACATATAATAGGTGCCTCTGCTGTTCAAATTACCAACAGGTTTTTACTGTTTCTCAAACAAACCTAATATCCCCCTGATGACTTCTTTAAGAATCTTGGACCAGGACCCCCATGGCATCGAGAGTGAACAACTCTTTCCTGCATGGAGACAGGAGTATTCTCCTTTTTGCAGGTTTCCATGTCTCACCCAGTAGAGTTAATGCAACCTAACCAAATGTAAGTTACCATAAAACCTAAAAGCTGACTGGTTTCTATACAGAACTGCACCAGATTTTACATACTCCAGTTTTAGCAAATCTCCCTCTATAGGTGCTCTTCCACCTCTCCGCTTATTTTTCCAGTGCACCCCAGATTGGTCCTTGAGTTCCTAGTTTCTACTTTGCTTCCTCAGTTATACTCTATTTGACCCTGGGGAACACCACCACATGATCGTACCTTTAGATGGCTGCATTTATTTAGTTTGTGTTTATTCAGTTTAATATGTTTTAAAATGTTGATTTTAGTCAGTGTTAATAAGCAATTTTGAAAAGAATTTTTTAGGAAGGCTTTTTGCTTGATTACTGGTGTCTCAAAAATAACATAAAATAACATATGAGTACGATTATATAATGCTATTAAAGCACTGAGACTTTTTTTTTTAATTACGGCTCTCTGATCTCCTATCATCCTTTTCTTAATATGCCCTTTAAATTGCCACCTTTGTTTAAATGCAGTGAATTACTTTGGATTTACAGCATTTAATTCAGACTGTATTGACATTAATATCCCAATTAAAGCTTATTTAGTGGGATTTCTATCCCAAAATTAGGTTTATTTAATAAAAAGACAAATTGTGTTTTTTGTGTGTTAAGCAGTAAGGAAATTCTGAATGGAACTGGTAAAGTGTGAAATTAAATTTCTGAAAATGATTAAATACCTGAAACACCTCTGCTGTTACCCCTCCTTGCCTAAAAATAAATAGAAAAACACAAATGACCATGAGTAATTCAATTCTGGCAAGACATAACCTTGCACACAGCTCTATGCCATGAGCTATTTTATTTAAAAGAATATGCCACTTTTTGAAGATTTCTGGTTTGTCTTCCTAAAGTACACACGGTGCAAGTACCTCAAGGTTTACCTCTTCTGGAGTGGAGTAGCAGAACACCTTCAAACTCTGCCTATACGTTTTGCAGACATCAATGGATTTAGGGAGCAACTGCACAAATGCTCACTACAGTTCATGCCCCAGTCTGACTGCCCTTGAATCAAATACATTTCTTTTTGCTTTTCATTTTGGTACCAGTGTCTGAGCCATTGGTGTAGAACAGTGGACTATCCTCCTTCATCTCTCAGGCAGCTAGTGACACCAAACATCTTTATGGAAAGTATGAATGGGAGATGCTAGATCCACCATTAGTTCAATTTTGTGATGTAGAAAGAAGTCTTTGTTGTAGAGAGCAATAGCTCTGATTAGACAATTCTTCATCACGAAAGGACCTTGAAAGGCATCTTGTGCAAAATCCAGGAATTTAGGAAACAGCTGCACCACACCAATGGTGTGAAATATATGAGTAGGAAGTGCTGGATCTGCCATTAGTTCAAGTGCACATTGTGGAAAGAAGTCTATACTGTAGAGAGCAATAGCTCTGATTAGGCAGCTCTTCAACCTAAAAGGGCCTTCAAAGGCATGGTGAGCAAACTCCAGGGATGTAGAGGAGAGAAGTGTGTCAAACCAATGGTTTGAAAGCATAGCATAATATATTTCTTCCAAATCAATTCAGGATAAACAAAATACAACATGTTTTGGGGGAATTAATTACATTTTGTGGTTGCACAGTGGTCCACCAAGTGCTTTAGACAACAGTAGGATGGACATTCTGCTGTTGTTTGATGGATAGCTATTGTAGGTGGGGATACTTTTATGTGGCTGCATGGAAGGCTTTTAGCTAAAGAGACAGTTTTTTTTGATTCGCCAAAGAAATTCCCACCTGAAGCTGTACTTTGCCCATTAAGGCCAAAAGAGCTGCTTCTATTTGTTGCCCTCCTCCCCAACAGCATATGCTTTCCATTGGTTCTCACTTCGTTCAGTCACCTGGAATAATGAAAGGAAGCTCATTGTAGGCTTCAAGTCACTCTATGAATATAATACAAGGCTGAGTCTCTCTCCCTGCCCCCTTGTGACAGCATGGGCCAATCACCAAGCACCAGTGCTGTCACATGAGAGGAAAGGGAGTTCCTTATACCCACTTCTGAGTATTATTTCTATCTTTTGGTAAAGCCTTACTCAAGTGAGAAAATGTGGGCATTAGACATATGCATTTTGTGTTTTTTGTTTTTGTATTTTGTTTTGTATCAAAAAGAATTTTGTGCGAAAAATGTGATTTTTTTGGAGATTGTTGTATATGAACTTCAACCTGTGGGTCGCGACCCTTTTGGGGGTCGAACGACCCTTTCACAGGGGTCCCTAAGACCATCAGAAAACACATATTTCCGATGTGTAAAGAGCAGCTACTGTGTAGAAAGCAGCTGTTGTGTTGAAAGCAGCGCTGCTGTGTTGAAAGCAGCTACTCTGTTAAAAGCAGCTACTGTGTTGAAAGCAGCAGTACTGGAGGTAAAACGACACTCATGAATTATAATTACTGGGTAAATAATTTTATGGTTGGGGGTCACCACGACATGAGGAACTGTATTAAAGGGTCACGGCAGTAGGAAGGTTGAGAACCACTGCTCTATGTGGACATAAAAATGAATTGCAATGAATCTGATAAAAGCTATAACGAAGTTAACAAATTTATTTGTTTCATTCGGATGACATCACATGATGTGATAGTAGTTCGCGCCCATGGGAAAATTAATTCAATTTTCAAATTCGTTGATAATTCAGATTTGAGTAAATGTGTGATTTAAATTGAATTTGTAGTTGTCAGTTCAGTTCCACAGTCTACTGCAATTCTTAGGTTAAAAGAAATTCAGGGCTGCCAATTTGTGCATTATTATTAGAGATGAGCGAAGTATTCAAAAATTCGATTCGACTGATTCGGCGAATTCGTGGACAATATTCGATTCGAGTTGAATATATTCGCTGTGAATTTAACTTAAAAAAGGGTGTTTCTAGGCTTCAGAGAGACTTAATATTAGTGCAGAACACTGTACCTTTAATTTAAATGCCCTTGGAGTCTGCTGGGGAAGAGAAATAATACTGTCAGTCAGTATGACATGCAGATGAGTGCCGTCAATCTTAGAATCACCGCACACTTCAGTCATTTGGCCAGTCACGGGCCAAAACCAGTGTTTGGAGCCACAGTGTGGCGGTGGAGGCAGCAGCAATGGGAGGCCATACAGCAACCTATGACAAAATGGAAACCAGCAGGAGTGTGAGGAGACCTCAAAGTGGCACATGGCAGAGTGGGAGCAATGGGAGGCGGTACAGGGACCCATGTCACACTGTGGACCCAGCAGCAGCGTGACGAGGCGGTACGGGGGCCCATGGCAGATTGGGCCTGGCAGCACCTATGGGAGGCCTGTAATCTGCCAGCAACCTATGACAAAATGGAAAACAGCAGGAGTGTGGAGGAGACCTCAAAGTGGCACATGGCAGAGTGTGGAGCAATGGAGGCGGTACAGGGACCCATGTCACACTGTGGACCCAGCAGCAGCGTGACCAGGAGGTACGGGGGCCCATGGCAGATTACAGGCCTGGCAGCAGCAATGGGAGGCCCGTAATCTGTCAGCACCCTATGACAAAAAATGGAACACACCAGCAGTGTGTGAGAGAGACCTGAAAGTGGCACATGGCATAGTGTGGCGCTGAGACAGCAGCAATGGGAGGCCGTACAGGGACCCATGAGAGACTCTGGACTTGGCAGCAGCATGAGGAGGCGGTATTAGGGGCCCATGGCAGATTAGGGGCCTGGCAGCAGCTATGGGAGGCCCGTAATCTGCCAGCACCCTATCAAAAAACAACAAAATGAGGAACACCACCACAGTGGCGATGGAGACAGCAAAAAATGGGAGGCCGTACCGTACAGGGACCCATGACAGACTCTGAACTTGGCAGCAGGAGACCTGAAAGCGTATAGGGCACATGATTTGGGCAGCATGATTCTGCCAGCACCCTGGCAAAAAATGGAACACACCAGCATGTGAGGAGACCTGTCATGTTGTGTCATGGCGGATTTAGTCAGTTGTGTCAGGAACTGGTGGTTTGAAATCTAGACTAATCCACGCCTGATTCATTTTCACAAACGTGAGTCTCTCCACACTTTGGGTGGACAGTCGTGTCCTCCGCGGAGTTGCAATACCTCCTGCCCGCACTAAAACACGCGCTCCGATGCCACGCTACTGGCCGGGCATGACAGCCTTTCAAGGGCAAATTCAGCTAGTTGGGGGCCAAAGGTCAAGTTTCGTTGCCCAGTAGTCAAGGGGATTGTCTACCTCGGTTGGCAGGGTGCTGTCCAAGTAGGCCTAAGCCTGTTGTTTGAGGTCCTGCTCCAGGTCCACCTGATGCTGCTGCTGCTGCTGCTGCGGCTGGTTATTAGTTTCCTCACTGCGCTGGTGAAGAAAGCTACTCATCATCGACTGCAGACTGAGGCAGCCGCTGCTGGTGGAGCTGCCACTGCTCCTACCACCCCACCCCTCCCCTGCTGCCATGGCAGCGGAACGCGAGCGCACAGGGCCCACAGTGTCTGAGGATGGACGTTGGCGCAGACAGGCAGAGACCAGCTGACTACATAGGTGGTTTTTTATAGTACGTTATTTTGGCCTCCCTCTCAGCAGGTGTGAAAAAGGCCACCATTTTTGAACGGTAGCGAGGGTCCAACAAGGTGGACAGCCAAAAGTCATCCCTCTGTCTGATGGTTATTATTCGGCTGTCGCTACGCAAGCAACCGAGCATGCTATGGGCCATTTGTGCCAAGGAATGCGAGGGAACTCCCTGCCTCCATCTCCACAGCATACTGCCACGGTGCGTCTGGGTCCTCTGTCTCCTCCTCCTCCTCCTCCTCTACCAGATGCTCCTGCTCCTCCACTCCTGTCCGCTGAGTGGAAAAACCACCCATTTCACTCAATAATTCCTGAGCACCAATGTCCTCCTCTACCTCCTCCTCTTCTTCCTGTCCTGCCCCCACAGGGGTCATGTGGCGTTGAGATCTGTGCGCCACGTCTACCGCACCCTGACCAGCCATTGTTAACAGCATTTTGTTCCAGGACGTGCAACAGAGGAATGACGTCGTTCACCCATAGTCCTGCCGACTCACGAATAGCGTGGCTCTCCTCAAAGGGCCTGAAGCAAGCGGCAGGTGTCACGCATGAGCTGCCAATGGCTGACATCAAAGTTACACAGGGGAGTACCTTTATCCGCTTGTAACATCAGGAAATCGGTGATGGCCTTTCGCTGTTCGTAAAGGCGGTCTAAACATGTTAGGGTTGAATTCCACCTTGTTGCAACGTCGCAGATCAGGCGATGCTGTGCAATTCCGTTCTGCCGCTGCAGCTCAAGGAGGGTGTGCTTTGCGGTGTAGGAATGGCTGAAATGCATGCAAAGTTTACGTGACATTTTAAGGATGTCTTGCAGTGGGATGGTGGATTTTAGGAACCGCTTGACAACCAGATTGAACACGTGAGCCATGCATGGCGCATGGCACAACCTTCCTTGACGCAGAGCAGACACCATGTTCTTTCCGTTGTCGGTCAACATGGTTCCGATTTTGAGTTTGCGCGGGAGACAGCCATCTGTCGATTTCTCTGTTCATTACACTGAGAAGTTCCTCCCCTGTGTGACTACGTTCGCCAAGGCATACCAGGTGCAGCACAGCGTGACACCGTTGCGCCCTGCACATGTGATATGCCGGTCGGTAATGGGACTTGGCACGGGGGGTGGCGGCTGAGGACACGGCGGAAGAAGAGGTGGTAGAGGCGGACATCTTTGCCGGACCAAGGACGTGCAAACGTGGAGGCAAAAGCGGCGTGACCTGTCCAAGTTGCTGGTGCGCTGTGACGCGCACCACGTTCACCCAGTGGGCCGTAAATGACATGTACTGTCCCTGACCGTAGTTACAGCTCCACACGTCGGCGCTGCCGTGCACTTTGGCAGAGACCGACATGCTCAAAGACTGGCCCACCATCTCTTCTACATGTGAATGCAGGGCTGGCACTGCCTTTTTGGCGAAGAAATGACGGCTTGGCACTCTCCACCGCGGCGCGGCACAAGCCATCATTTCTCGGAAAGGTGCTGAGTCCACCACTTGGAAAGGGAGGGACTGCAGCACCAGCAACTTGGACAGGAGGACGTTCAGCTTTTGCACCGTCGGGTGTGCGTGCTCGCAAACTGAAACGGATTCCAAGAAAGACTGCTGACGGAATCCGTGAAGAGGAGTAGCAGGAGAAGGAGCATCTGAACGAGCGGAAGATGCCAACGAGCGACAACTCCCCTCAGCAGAGGTGTTGGAGCCTTGACTGGCTGATGGAGGGCGATTGACGTCGGGTGACGGAGCAAGTAACGGAGCGGGTGATGGAGCGGGGGCTGGGGCGGCAGAACCGCCGTATCTTTATCACGGTTTTCCCAGGCCACCAAATGGCGACGCTGCATATGCTGCCGCGCGCAACGCTGTAGTCCCAACATGGGCCCCCTGGCCACGCTTGACTTTCTGGCCACATAGTCGACATACGGCTACGTTTACTTCCTCGGGCGGCTTGACGAAAAATTGCCAAACCGCCCGAGTAGGAAACTTTGCCCCCGATACTCCTCACTGGCTGACTGCTGCTTCCTCCGTGCACACCGGCACCACTACTACTGGCCGTGGTGGTAGGCTGCAGTGGAGCTGGTGCTCTACTCCGTGGCCGTTTGGCTCCACTGACACTGCTGCGACCCTGCTGCCTCCTGGGCAACCCACCGACTGTTTCGCTCGCTGCCAAGCTGCCACCCTCTTCTCCTGATGATGCGGAAGAAATTGCCTGATGACGACGAGGCTGCCAAGTGCGATCAACCTCCTCATCATCAAGTAGGGTCTCCGCCTCACTACTAGCCCCCTCGGCTGCGTCTGGGTCAAGGAGACAGACCTGTCTCTAGACCGGCTACCGAGCCACTCTCCTCCTCGCCACTACTTCTTCGCCTGGCTGCTGAAAAGGCGGATGTCTCCCCCCGTTCCTGACCGCCCTCTGTTATCTCTTCCTCACTGTACAGTGGGGCTGAGCCCACAGCATTGCGATACTTCGCTTGGTGAGGGAACACCAAAGGACAGGGGCAGGTAGAGGACACGTGATTTCAGTGGGCTTGGTCCGGGGCCATGCCAACTAACGGTTGTGTGTCTGACGTACCCACCGACCGTTGGCTGTAGGTGTCAGAGGTGACCTGGGAAAAGGAAGACGACCGAGCCAACCAATCGATGACGGCAGGGTTGTCGGTGGAGACACGACCGCTGGATGACACCGGGAGCACTGGCCTCTGGCTGCGAATACTGCTGCCTCGACCCCTTCCTCTGCTGCCACGTCTGCTCGCTCCTAAAACATTGCCTCCTCTGCCACACCTCTGCATGTTGTCTGACATACTCTTTAATTCAATGATTCTGTGTCCCTGAGTAACAATTCTGTGTCCCTGAGTAACAATTCTGTGTCCCTGAGTAACAATTCTGTGTCCCTGAGTAACAATTCTGTGTCTGTCCCTGAGTAACAATTCTGTGGCCCTAAGTAACGGTTCTGTGGCCCTCAGTAACAATTCTGTGTCCCTCAGTAACAATTCTGTGTCTGTCCCCCTGAGTAACAATTCTGTGGCCCTAAGTAACGGTTCTGTGGCCCTCAGTAACAATTCTGTGTCCCTGATTAACGTTTTATGTGGCCCTAAGTAACGGTTCTGTGGCCCTCGAGTAACAATTCTGTGTCCCTGAATAACAGTAACAACGGTTCTGTGTCTGTCCGAGTAACAATTCTGTGCCCTCTAAGTAACAGTTCTGTGCCCTCAGTAACAATTCTGTGTCCCCTGAGTAACAACTCTGTCTGGCCCCTAAGTAACGGTTTCTGTGGCCCTAAGTAACAATTCTGTGTCCCTCAGTAACAAATTCTGTGTCTGTCCCTGAGTAACAATTCTGTGGCCCTAAGTAACGGTTTCTGTGGCCCTCAGTAACAATTCTGTGTCCCTCAGTAACAATTCTGTGTCCCTCAGTAACAATTCTGTGGCCCTCAGTAACAATTCTGTGTCCCTCAGTAACAATTCTGTGTCCCTGAGTAACAATTCTGTGTCTGTCCCCGAGTAACAATTTCTGTGGCCCTAAAGTAACAGTTCTGTGGCCCTCAGTAACAATTCTGTGTCCCTGAGTAACAATTCTGTGGCCCTAAGTAACGGTTCTGTGGCCCTCAGTAACAATTCTGTGTCCCTGAGTAACAATTCTGTGTCTGTCCCTGAGTAACAATTCTGTGGCCCTAAGTAACGGTTCTGTGGCCCTCAGTAACAATTCTGTGTCCCTCAGTAAAATTCTGTGTCTGTCCCTGATTAACGTTTATGTGGCCCTAAGTAACGGTTCTGTGGCCCTCAGTAACAATTCTGTGTCCCTCAAGAAACAATTCTGTGTCTGTCCCTGAGTAACAGTTCTGTGGCCCTCAGTAACAATTCTTTGTCCCTGATTAACTTTTCTGTGGCCCTAAGTAACGGTTCTGTGGCCCTCAGTAACAATTCTGTGTGTCCCTGAGTAACAATTCTGTGGCCCTAAGTAACGGTTCTGTGGCCCTCAGTAACAATTCTGTGTCCCTGAGTAACAATTCTGTGGCCCTAAGTAACGGTTCTGTGGCCCTCAGTAACAATTCTGTGTCCCCTGAGTAACACAATTCTCTGTGTGTCTGTCCGAGTAACAAATTC